GAAAATGAAGTCTACGTACAAATGGTACTAACCCAAAATTTTAAATATCAAACAGTACATTGAAATAAAAGCTCTTTAGGCACCTAGGAATTATAATTTTCAAGAGGCTCCTTTGGCAGTTAAGAGTACTCAGTCTCTTCCTAAGTTGCCTATTAGCTTTTTTCGATTATCCTTCTCCTATTAATAAGTCTATCTAATTGTCATACTGATAAAATCAAAATAACTTCATTTGAAATTTCTAGAAGTAATGCTTAACCTTGAGCTTCCAGCTCCACCTCATTACCAATACTTTGAGAAACTGATGACAAATAGGAACTTTTCTCCTAAAAAAAATATACCATCACAAAATTTTATGTGCGTACTGTGGGAATTCATAACTTTCAAGATTATTTCCAGCAACCCTTAAAACACGGACTTAGAAACTTCTACTTAAAAATATCTTGGTAGGGGGGCACCTGGGTGGCTCAGTGGTTTAAGCCTCTGCCTTCAGCTCAGGTCATAGTCTCGGGGTCCTGGGATCGAGCCCCGCATTGGGCTCTTTGCTCGGTGGGGAGCCTGCTTCCCCCTCTCTGCCTACTTGTGATCTCTGTCAAATAAATAAATAAAATCTTAAAAAAAAAAAATCTTGGTAGGGAGTGGCACCTGGCTAGCTCAGTCGGTAGAGACATAGTTGAGCCTTGATATTGGGGTCATAATTTTAAGACCCATGTTTGATGTACAGCTCACTTAAAAAAGAAAAAGAACAAATAAAATGTAACAATTAAAAAATCTTGGGCGGGTAGAATTAAATTTTATTACTGCTTCTCAGTTATCTTTGATTTTAAATAGACTATTTACTACTTAATGCAAAAAAACTCTTGATTTCTTTCTAATGCAAACCATTTGAAAAAATTGAACCTTGCTCCTACAATAATTGAGATTTCACATATTTTCTTCACTTCCAAGACAGAAGGGAGAAAGCTAGATTAATTTTACAGCTTCAAATACAAGGACTAAAAGCTCTTAGTTTATAAAATTTTAAAGAAAAAAAGATTCTTGGTTTCTTTCAAAAAATGAGAAATCAAACTTTTAAGTTTATCATTTAAAGTCATTTAATTTTTTTTATAAAATAGAAAACTTTAAGTTTTGAAAATGTAGCACTTATTTTTCCTCATATCAAAGAGATGTACATATTTCCAATTTCTCCCTAATTAAAAATGAAAAAATCCTGCCCACTTTATAAATGATCTTTAACTTGGGTTTAATAACATTGTATACAGGACCAATAATGAAAGGTGGTAGTCTTAAGAGGGGAGAAAAGCAGGTGTAGGAGACCATTTTGTCTGGTTAGAACCCTATTAAAACAAGGTGTTGGATTTTAATGGCTAGACCCTATTTCTGACAGTCTCAAAGGTGGCTGTATAAAGTAATATCAATGTGATATCATTAATATGTCAATTACATCAAATACCCTACCCAAACCAGAGTAGGTAATAGAACTAAAAAGGTTAACTCCACTCCTAATGAAGCCACAACACCCTAGACATCCCAATGAAAATGTTAAACTACTGGAACCAGGTAGCTCCAATTTGTTGGAGCTTTAATATCACTTTAAAATCCATGTTTTCAGTATGTCTTTCCTAAAGGTAAGTATCCATATGGAAAAATTATAATTTAACATAAAACTCCAATTTTAACTAACATAAGTCAACTTTAAGAAAAACCTATCAATAGTACTGACATCTTGGAAAAGCTATCTTCTCAATTAAAGGTGAAGCTATGGCACTAAAGTCAGTATTTGAACATTCCTAACTTCAAAGTTACGATCTCAAATTTAAGATTATAATCTTAATAAAAATGTTCAAGTACTATAATGGTGAAACATCTGCCCTCTCCACTTGGTTAAACTTTTATCTTTTAACCCCCAGAGACTCATTTATCTCATTTTAGAGCTGACAGTCTTTTGATTTCCTATTTGAAAATTGCCTTGGGGGCGCCTCCGTGACTCTTGACACCAGCTCAGGTCTCAGTCTCAGGGTCCTGAGCTTAAGCCCCATGTTGGGCTCTGCCCTGGGCATGGAGTCTACTTAAAAAAAAAAGTTATTTTTTGATTTGGCAAGTTATAAAGTATTACAGTGTATCAATTCAAACATTTAATCCCTAAACGTCTAAAACTCAGTCAAGTCCTTCAATTTATTACAATCTGGAGTTATTTTTCAATCCTACAGTAATAAAAATAAATTTTAAAACTGAGTTAAGTTATTTTTGGGTGGGGAATTGAGGATTTCTGCTTAAAATTGTTTCTTAAAAATTAAGAGGCAGGCCTAATTAAGTCAATGTGTTCATCTTACATTATTAAAATTGGTTAAATGGGAGTACATTAATAAGTTTTATTTTCAGTGTTAAGACCTAGGTTTTTGTTATTCACCATAGACACAAAATACGGTAAAAATTACCAGACACAGTTTACATGACAATTTTGCAGATACATTTTGATCATGAAATGCTTTCTTAATCAAGTGGTGTATACAAAACCATCCTCATTTAAGTTTGCCCTATTTTTCATGATCAACATACCATTATACTTCTTCTAAACTAGACCCTCAATTCAGGTTCTAGAGCACTCCAAGAGACACTATAAATAATGCATCAGTCCAAAGGCAAAAGTTTGTTTTAACCATTCATCTTTTTAAGAAGTATATCATGCTTCAGCAAATTATCAAGAAGTTTTGTTTTTCTAAGGTTAGCTCAGAATTCAACTACATTTATGCTTAGTCTACATTTTCAACAACGTGTAACATGCTACTTTTAATAGTGTGACTTACATGGCCTGCTACTACTACTGACAGCATGAACCGTAGGACTGTACAGCAGCAGTTTACCTGGTACTGTTTATATCCTTCTATTAAATTTGGTATCTGTTCCTGAGGTCTATGTTTCACTGGTCATAGTTTGGTTGTATGTAAACTGAAATTTAAATAGATGATGGAAAAAGAAGTCTGAAGGAAAAAAGTCCCTGATGTCCCTGAGAAATAGATTTCACATGTTACTAACTAATGATATCCACTGCACCATGTCAAATTTATTTCTGTGAACAAAATTATCTGTAAAATTTAACAAGTATTAATATATCAGTTGAGCTCAGCTCTGATTTCAGATTGTACCTCTTGGACTGTTGTAAGTATTCACAGAAGCAAGACTCCACTAAATGTCTAAAGTGTACTGTAATGCTACTTTGCTTTTATCAAGGCTCTCCCCACCTTCCCTGGCTGCAAAACAAGAACTATAAATTCCAAGGCAGTGTAACACCAGCACCCCAACTTGAAAGTATTATCTGTAAAACTTATAAACAGAAACAAAAATAAAACCAAAAGACAAGATTCTGCAGTCACAAGTACTTTAATTTTTAAAAACAAATCACTTATTAAAAAATAAACAAATGGCACCAGTCTACTCTAAAGTTGATACATGTAAAGAGGTTCCGTCTCATAGATAAAGGGCTGAAAAGTCAGTACTACACTAGACAATCTCAACTACTACATAAACTTATCACTTGGCTTATCTATAAAGTTAGATTTAAAACACTACTCTCAAAAGTAACATTTACTGTCACAACTGTTTTACTTGAAAAGGTTAAGTAGCCCAAACAGTTTAAATAGCTTTATTTTCAGAATCAACATTACAAAGCATAATTTCTACATTTAAAATTCTTACAGTACCAAATAGAAGTATTACAGTACAATTTTCCACAACAAAATTGTAGCACACAAATCCAGCGACTCCTTGATTTCCTTGAACTGTCAATACACTGCACCCTGTTTAAATGGCTGTACCTGAAAACCAAGGTATGCAATTCCTTAGGATTAGAAGTCATCAAGTTATACTGTCAAGGATCTGGGGGAAATGAGAGGAAGATTCTATTATCCTTGTGTCTGAACCCAATTTCTACAACAAGGTAAAGCCACAGCTATGATAAAATGTCTATTAGGTGTAAACAGTTGAATACGGAAACCCACCCGATTTAGACACCTCAATGTTAAGATTTCTGTAAATGAACTCAATTAACTTTAGTTCGGTTATCGATAAGGACCCCCTCTTTCGAAATCTAGATCTATAACATCTTCTTAAATTGGGTCTTTTCTTCCCCTATGTTGAGAAACCAGAAAGAAGGCGAACTTACACTTTATTTAAAAAAAAAAAAAAAGGCAGTAATAAAGTTACAGGCTTTAGGAAGAGCTACGTACTCCAAAATAAGTCTGCAACATAGTCTCACAGATCAAAGAAAAGTCAGGAATAGTTTATTACCCTCCGATTAATTAGAACTGGGGAGGATTAAATGCAAAAGTCCCAGAGAGAGGATATTAAGTCTTATCTTCTATGAAAGTAAGTCATCCGGGCAAACACGCCGCACCCTCGACATTCTACTGCAGGGGGTGAAGGGAATATAAACCTCACAGACGTGCTGTCAACATTACAGGCCCCAGTGAGCCCAGCCACCTTTCCAGGCCAACGGGAAGTGAAATTCCCCCACAGTGCACGGAACCTGCGCTCCCCGGCGCCAGCAGCGCGCGAAGACCGAGGTGGCCCTAGAACGCCACCCAGCGGCCTGCGGAGAGGGCTGCAGGCGGGTCCTCCGCGGCTCCCGGCTCGCCGCACCCCCCCAGCCACCCAGCCCGTTCCCCTCTCCGGATGCACAAGGCCCAACCCAAGAACTAAGACCACAAAATGGCTGCCGGCAGCTTCGTCACGTGACCCCTTTGTGCCTTTCGGGCTCCCGAACTCCGCGGGACCCGGGTACAAGTGGCCGGGGTCGGCGGGTGGCCTCAGAGGAGGCCCCGCCGGGCCGCAGCGGCCGGGGGTCGAGGCCGGGGGAGGCGGGGTAAAGGCCCGGCCGGCGACTGAGAGTCGGCGGCGAAGAGAAGATGGCGGCCATTTTGTGTGGGTATGCTGCTCCGCCGCCGCCGCAGGCAGCAGAGGGAGCGGGGCCTGGCGCTGGGTCGGACAGGGGAGTTAACACGTACCGACTCCTCTTCCTTCTCCATTCCGGTGGGCATCTGCGGCACGGCCCGGTTTATCGAGGCGTATTCGTGCAGGTCGGGCAGATCCTCACAGCGGAAAACCGGCAGCGGCTTCGAGGCGTCTAGCGCCCGCGCCCGAAACGACAGTTTACTCATCTCAGGCGCAGCAGATACCTCTCCGCTCTGGGGAAACGGCCCCGGCCAGCGGGATCATGGAGAACCGGGGGTTCGGTCCCCACTCGCCTACCGCTGCCGGGGACTTGAGGGGCGGAGCGCAGAGCCCGCCGTCCGGGTACTAACACCAGCCGGGAGGGTGGGAGGCTGTGCCGCTCCGCTCCTCTCTCGCTCGCTCTCTTCAATACGCCATGGCCAACATGGCGGACATTAAAACTCCACTGTGCGCTCTTCAGCCAACCCCAGCCATTCCCCACACTGCATCGCGCAGCGGCGCGGGCACGCGGGGGGGGGGGGGAGCGCGGGCTCGAGGCCGGGCGCCGGCACGGAGCGCGCGTCCCGCCAACCCCCGGCGCCCGCCGGCCTCGCTGCTCGCGGCCCCCACCCTCTGCGGGCCCGGAGGCGGACGGGCGGGACAGGGCAGACTGGGCGCTCGGACGCCGGGAGCCGGCTCCTCCGTCCTCCTCTCCCTCTCGGGCACGCGCTCACTTTCTCACGCTCGCTCCCTCCCAGCGCCGTTTTCTGACAGGCGAAGGTGCAGGCAAACTATCTCCACCCGCACGCCGGTTTTGCGAAAGGCAACGGCGGGAGAATTGCGGGGTGGTGCTATTGCCCCGGGGTAGGCGGGCTCGGCACTTGTCACCCCCGCCAGCTGCCAGCGCGAGGGGCGGGGGAGACACCGGGGGCCAAAGCCGCCCTGGGTGGGGGTTAGGAGGGGCGCTCCAGAGGCGCAGCGCACCGATGGGAAATTCAGTGGGTGAATGCATGTCTTAGCGGGCTTTCAGGTCTTTAAAACAAAAATACAAACGAAATTAGGGGCAGAATGCCTCTTCGGGTGAACTTTTACCAGCGATTATTTTTACGTCTAATGAAACTCTGGATTATAATATTTGACAGGCTCAGCCGCAAACCATTGGTCAGTTCCCATCCATTGGGCTAAATATAAACGGTAGACATCCTACTCTGCTCCAAAGTAGGGTTTTTTTTTTTTTTTAAATCTTGCATTTTATCTACCCATATTCACTCTTATTGTAATTGAAGCAAAAGGAGTTATTATAGCACACTGTTATCTTAGGGGAAAAAAATTTAAAGCAAGACCTTCAGAATTTTAGAGCCAATTCGTTACATGTAGTAGCTCATGATTTTTTTTTTTTTTTTTTACTGAAGGAAAATGCTGCTTCAACATAGCCATGGGTTCCACTTATCACTTGCTTTCTGAAAAACTTTCTAAAATTGAATCATATAAAGATCTGTAGTGTTCCTGTCAAATCAAAAAAGAAAAAAAAGGCGGGGGGAGACCGTGTTGTTATAGAAATTTAGATGGATGTCATCTATTAATATTTGGTTTATAATACACGTGAAAATTGGTATCTAGAAAGCTCTTTCCAGTGGGTTATTTAAAAAATCCAGAAAGACTGTTGTGGTGGGTTTAGTAGGTTTGCCAGCAAAATTACAAACATTCACTGAGATACAAAAATGTTTTATAAATCTGGTTTTCTTCCTGGGAGCTACATAGTAAAAATAATCACTATTCTTAAATACCGGGTTGGATAGGAGCTGATACTTGCTTAAGGCACATAGGCAAACTGCTGTCTTCCAGGTTAGTTTAGCTACGCTCTACCAGGTGGGGAAAAGACAACGAGTGCATAGATAGCAGTTCTCGAAAATTACCCTGAAACTCTTAATACTGGCAACTTCCCTCTATGAGGCAGAGGGACTTTCATCTACATTTCCTATACTAAGACTGTGCATTTATTTAGTGAGCAAATATTTAGGAGTCCTCATGGCCTTCTATGTATGCTGCTGATTGTCACAGAGCTCTCGGAGAAGGACCTTTAGATGACAACTGCCACACCTGGAGTGTTATGATGAAAGCGCAGGCTATTGTGGGAACAGACAGGAGTGGCACCCAATGCACAGGCAGCGGCTCTAATGAGAGGATTCAGGGAAGGTTTTTTGGAGGAGATGATATCTGAGTCAAAATTGTGTAGGATAAGTATGAGTTAACCTTGCCAAAAAATGAAGAGAAGGAAAAGTATATTAGGCAAGGGAAGCAGCATGTGCAAAGGCAGCCACGAGAGCCCATGTCATATTCTGGGAGCCTCAAGAATCGCCAAGCATACTGTGCAACAGACACGTATTTAGGCAGGTTTAAGAGTTCTGGCTCAATATTCGTAGAGTAGTCCTCTCCAGCCTGCAATATTAGATTTCTGAAAATCCTGCAAGTAGAATTCTGTTGATTTTACAGAAGACTTTGTAGAGCAAAGTCTTTACAGACTTTATGGACTAATAAGACTTTCTAGAACAAAATAGGGTCTTAAATTATGAATGAACCACCAAGAAAACAAATACAGTATTTTTAAACTGCATTAAAATAACAGCTTATGAATAACATTTTCTTCATCCCTAATGGGCACTGTACAAATCAGTTCCTTGCTCCCTAGAAATTCTAGAATCACCCTCCATGGCATGTTTGGAGATATTTACAAATTAAGCTTACCTTTTTGCAGATAATATACCTGCTGAGAGACATTTTCTTTTTGCATCAATTCTCCATCCGGCTCAATGCCCTGGATTTCTGACTCCCAGTCCTGGTTTCCCAAGGACCCAAAGGCTGGAGTCCCAAGCCTTATAACTTAATTCACTTCCCTCCCTCCTAAGGGGCAGGAATGCAGTAATAACGGTTCAGGTTTCAATGTAGGGGATACAAGTAAGATTCTGATCAAAGGATACCCAGTTAACCAAATGATCAGCGCAAGGCAGTATGGTGAAGTACAGTGTTATGGGAGTTCAGAAGGAAAAGTCAGTTCCTGCTGGGGTGATCGGAGAATATGGAGAAGATAGTGTGTGATTTGGTTGTGAAGGATGACTAACATTCCAGTTGGCAATGGCAATGAACTGGTAGAAGAAAGGGTATTCATGGGAGAAAGCAACTGTTTGAACAAAACAGTGAGAGGAGGCAGCTGGCTGGTTTATGAAGATGAGAAAGCTTATTTGGCCAGAATTCAGTAGGAGACTCTGACAACAAACCAGGTATATGGTAAAATGGGTAGGAACTTGGGTTGAAGGAATAGGGGTAGAAAGAGATAAAGTTTTAATGGTGATAATAATTATAATATCATCATGCTCAAATGTGCTTCATTTCAATTTATACCAAATACAGAACTTCTGCTGAAAACAACAAAGAATGTGTGAAATGCAACTGCTCTGGCACTGCTGTTGGCTATATATAATAAACCTGAAATATGGTTCTGAATTTTAGTTCATGTCCAATATGTCCCCAAGTCTTATTATTTATTCTTGGACATTGTACCCAGGATTCATTTCCTTGTTTCCATTTCCATTGTCTCAACCATAGTCCCAGCTCTCATCACTTCCCGCCTAGAAATGACCTCCAATCCAATGCATCCTTTATTCATGCATTCCTTTGATAAACTGTTCTTAATCACCTACTTTACAGGAAACTGAAGGTACTCTCATAGTGACTAGTGGTAACCAGCAGTGGCTGGATGAAGCTTTGTTTCCTGGGGATATCAAGAAGAGAGTACAAACTGCCCTTCAGGGGTTCATAGTGCATGCCACCAAATCAGTGTGCCTAAATCCCCATTCCATATGTATCCTCCCCTCCCCAAGTCACTTATTTATATCTGCTCTTTGTTTTGCCCATTAGATAAAGCCTTTTGGGGGCATATGGTTGTTAGGGTGCCTCAATAACTTTGACTAACTCTGTCTAACATAATTTCCCATTACTGCCTAAGACACGCTCTTCACTGCCTCCTAAGTCACAGCACCATCTTTAGAAATCAGCATGTCTTTCCTGCCTCCAGATTTTTATTCATTCCTTTCTCTCTATTTTTCCCCATCCAGCTTCAGACTGACTATATATTTCTAGCTACCAAAATACTACCTCACAGAAATGTTTTGAAGATTCAATAAAACAATCCATGTAAGTATTTAGAATGGCCTGTGATCCACAGTAAACCTTCAGTTGTTGTAAACTATTGTTACTATCCTCCAAAATCCAATTCAAATATCATGTCCTCCATGAAATTTTGACTACTTAATTTCTCTGGGTTCTAATTTCCTAATCTGAAGAGAGGTTAGGTGAATTCAAAATAATTCTTCTTAAGCTTACACCATTCTTTCTCCTTTCTGAACTCCTATTACACTTTCAGTCAGTAAGAATAATAACCACATTTACTATGTGGCAGGCAATGCAGAAGTACATTTTAAATGCATTATCTCATTTAATTTTCATGGGAGTCCTACGAGATCTGTCCTGTTAGAGAGGTTGCAAGACCAGCCTGTGGTCATGAAGCTGGTGAGAGGCAATGCTGAGATTGAAATCCCTGGTGTCTAACTCCAGAGTGAGGCACCCATAACCAGATTATAAAGTGAACTGAGGAGTGAATGAGAGGTGAGGAAAGATGTTGAATATGGGTTACCCTTTTAAGAGCCTTAGCAAGGAAGGGAGGAGAGGCAGAGACAATGGGGTAACTATTTGGGTCACAAATTTTGTTGTTTTTGAAGGTGGGAGAGATATGGGCATGTCTGTACGCTGAAAGCAAAAAATCATGTAAATGGATTAACTTTAGAGCTATCTTCCTTTGAGGCAGAAAGGAAGGAGAGCAAGAACGGATAGTGATCCAAGGAAGTTAAACTCTCTGATGGGACAGTAAGATTTAAAAAAATCATGATGCCAATTTTGCTAGCAGCAGTCCAGATTCTTCGTTCCTTCGAGCATTCAATAAATATTGACTGGATGTTTACTAAGAACTAGGTAAAGCAGCTTGTGCTGGAGAGCAACCTATTTAATCCAATGACTGGCACTTACTGACAGATAATACCTGTGTATAGGCCAGGTGTTAGTCCAAGGTTGTAAGGGGCAAAGGCATAAAAATGAGAGAGTTGGGAGACACCAGAGGAGCAGGCCGAGGGGAGGAGGAGGAAGAAAACGGAGGCAGAAGTAGGGAAAGGGAAGGTAGTAACCCTTAAGGTGCTTTACAGTCTCAGCACATAAAATGTATTATATTTCGACAATTAGTTCTACTAAGCAACATATCCAAATCAGTATGGTATAAATGGTACATGGGGCAAAGAAATGAAACTTGGAGAAATAAGAGAAAAACCATTAACAAAGTAGAATTTTACATTGGAAGATTTAAGTCAAATTTATTAGTGTATGGTAGACCAAAAAAGATTGACAGGGAAAGGGGATTTCAAGAGA